TATTGTCCAATATGTTAAAATATCTCAGCTTAATCAAGTATATCTAAGAATATAATTAATAGTGCTTGAAAGTATAGGAATAGAAGAATTAAAGAAATCTATCTTAAAATCTAAAGTGGATAATTAATAATTGTAATTATTGAAAAATGTTGATGATATAGATTTGGAAGATAATTTTATATAATCAACTACTTAAGATGATAAAGAAATAATAGAATTAAGATTATTAAATAAAATGGATATATATGATTAATTAACTGATTCTGCATTGCAATAGGTATTCAATTGTAATAATTGTAGTACAATTCTTTTTTAGATTAATATTTTTGATAGTTGTCTGACTTTATACTTTATATAATTGTTTATAAATAAAAATGCAGTTATTTCATATATTTAACTCAGAAATTAATTTAAAAAGTTCAAAATTCTACATAATGTTCTGTGACCATCAAGGAGAATAATCATTCTGTATATGTTGTCAATAACTTATTTGTGAATTATGTATATGTTGTACAAATTCAAAAAAAATAAATGTGCCAAAAATACATTTAAATGCACTTTGTTCAAGATGTGATTAAACTTAAGCTTAAATTAAATGTGAATAGTGTATGTTTCAATTCTGTTAAGAATGTTTTTAATCAGTTCATAAAATAGGCAAATTTTCAACTCATATCAAAATTGAAATCAATTAAGATCTACACTAATAAATAATCAAATAAATGTCTATAATTACAGAACTTGAATAATACTGTTAAGAATAAATGAAATCGATTTTATAATATTTTGATTAGATCTAAGTAGTATTAGATAGGAAAAAAAATAGTTTCTTGATGGTATATCAAATTATCGTAATTAATAAATGAAACAGCTTAAATAGAGAATAAATTTAATTGAAGCAGCTGTCAAAATTAATTCAGAATAATCTTTTGAAATCCCAAAGTGTCTAATTTATTAAAAAGAAACATTTAATTTAACCGCCAAAGAATAAATTATAGACTTGATTTTAAATATTGATATTTAAAAAAACCTTGACTAAAGTACTCTAAGTCCACGTAAAATTCTTACTTAATCAAATGTGAGAAGGAGTGCCAGTTGTAAAAAATTGGAATCTTAAGACAAAATTGTTGAGATTTGTGAAACTTTTGAAAAGAGAAAATTTATTAAATCATTATGTTAATCTAATTCAATTTAATTATAATGGACTCATTCTAGATTGAAGGTTGACTATAATTAAAAAATGGGAATTGGCATGAAAATTAAAGGAGTTGAATAATTTAAATAAATTTATATAGGTATTGAACCATAATTTACAATTATTTGATTATAAGCAAAAACCAATTACAAATTTAGAATTTAAAGTATATTTGAAAATAAGACAAGTGAATTCAGTGAAATCTTGAATTTAGCTACATCTTAATAATAATCTATTGAGGATAGTCTAATAATTTCTAAGAAAATAATAAATAATGATATCTAGGTTTAATTTGAGAAACCTGGATTAGTTTTACGCACAAATCCATTATACTTTAGAATATGGTCTTGGGAAATCAAATTAATAATTAATGGAATAATTGAAGATTTGACAGCCAGTTTGGTTTTTGGAGTAGCTAATAAATAAAGAAAGATTGTTGGAACTACATTGAACTACGGTTATTAAAGAGAATCCTTGATTATTAAGGTCTTAGTTGATATAGAAAATAAGTTAATGACTATAACTTCGAAGATGCATCCAAATGGAGAAAGATACTATAATATAATGGGTCCTGTATTTCCAGCATTTTAAAATAAAAATACTCATAAAGGATCAGGATGTAAATTATTGATATAATATTAATAATTATGAATAAAAAAGAATTAAGAAAACTTAATTCATATGTAGATAAAGAAGTACTCAATCTGACAGGTGGTCTTTATCCATTTGCTCTTTTCTCATAAACAAAACCGCTAAATCATTAGAAATGGATTTAAGAGGAAATAATGCTAACTAATCATAACATAGAAAAAGTGAAGGCATGGGTACCAGAACAAGAGAAAGGGTAAATGTTTAGAGGAGAAAAAGTCAATTAAGATCCAGAATATCTTGAATTTAAAGAAGAGGAAATTAGTATTGATACTGATTGGAGTCTTGAGGAGACTTAATATTTATTCAATTAATTGAGGAACTATAATTACAATTTCAAAGTACTGTCTGATAGATATTCATATCAAAATAAAAACAGAGATATTTATTAATTGAAGGATAGATATAACAGGTTTGGTAATAAAGTATAATAAAAGAGGAATGAAAAATCACATTTTCTATATAATTATGTTTATGATGAAGAATATGATCGATTTAGAAATATGGAACTTGAAAAGTATTAAAAAGAACCAAATAAATATGTGATGAAGATAAAAAGTTATAAGAAGATCTAAGGAAAGTTAATCAATAAATAAAGAAATAAGAGAGGGAACATAAAAGTTTATGCAAATCTATTAATCTATAAGAATATGATGTAACTTATTATTTGCCATTTAGGATATTGATGATAAATCAATCAATTATATTATAGATATGTCATAAAGAAATGAAGAAATTCAAAAGACAACTAATGAGAGAATAGTTTATTTAAGAAATAAATGGATTAATGAAGCATTACCATTACCTACTACAATAAAAGATAAATTGGATAGGCAATTAAAAGAAGTGCTTTAAAATACTAAATTAGCTTTAAATTAAGAAATAGAAGAATTATTTTGTAATCTACGTAAACTCTAATTGGGTGTATTGAGTTAATAAAGATTATAAAAAAGAAGAGAATAAGATAAAAGACATTTGGAAGATAAAATTAAAAAACTTAAAGCTTAACATGATTCATAATAAGCTAGTGATATGAAAACTAAAAAATGAGATAATTTATATTCTAATTATAATTAATATTGGTTTCATTGTTTTACTATCTCAGAAAATTCATGTTTTTTGGCTAAGAAAATTCAAATTAAACAAAACAGTTACCTCTTTTTTCTAATAATGATCTAAAATATTTTGCAGAGAAGTATACAACATCTACTGGCTTTTTTCTAATAACTTCCTTTGCATAATGTTTCAATATCACTGGTAATTCAGGAGGTACTACAATCTATTCAGCACAATATATTCTCTATTCTCTCACATCTGCCATTTTATTATATATTAAAATAATTAATTAAATTTGATAATTCATTAATTTATATAGATGAGGAAATCACAAACAATTCTCATCTGCACATCTTATCAAAGGTTATATTTATTCTGTTTATTTCCCTCTAAGACACTCAATAAATTATCTAACATTCAATAATTAAGATGATATCCTTGTATTCCTCATACAATAGAACAAAACTACTTAACTCTCTCCTTCCTGTGTAATATTTCACTAAATACTTGTGATAGTATATGCTACATCTCGTTTGAACAATGTCTATTTGAAATACAGTCATAATCTGTATTAATTCCAAAGTTAATCCATATAAGTAATGAAAAAAATAAATATTTAAAATACATAAATAATTATACAATTAGATATTTATATAATAATTAATATATATAATTCTTATTTAATTCCTTATATGAAATATATTCATTTATTATTAATAATAGATGCTTACTTGTCTTTTTTCTTGTCTGCTTTAATGGCCGCTTTCTAAAGGAATAATGCTTCTAATGACTTACCATCCTGTTCTATTACTGCACCTTATAAATTACAATTTTTTGCAGATATCAAACATTATCTTCCAAAGTTCCTATAAAAATGGACATAATCACTTTAATTATTAATTTCATCTAATTTTAAATCATGAATATCTTCAGGAAACTGGAGAACAAAGAGTTTGATAGATCCATCTTCCATAGCCACAGCCATATCTTTACAATTAGGAGATAGCGTTATCTTTGAAATAATTTCTATAAAGTCTCTAAGGATATAAACAGTGGCTAATTATTAAATGCTCCAAAATCTAATAGTTTTATCTTATGAACCAGATATAATCATTTAATTATCGTGCATGATAGATAAGCATATTATTTTACCTTAATGTCCTTTTAATTCTAAAATTGAAGTAAAGTTCAAAGCTTCAGTTACTTCTTTAATTAAATAAATGACACAACCTCCTGCAGCTGATAAATTATTACTATTATTTCCAAAAACTATTTAAGTAAAATATTCATCATTTTTATCAATTATAGTTTTATTTTGATTACTCTTATAATTCCAAAGGACTAATTATTCTCCTCCAAATGCAATAATATTTTCTTACTACATAATTGAAAATGTATTGAATTACAACAATGATTAGAAGGCAGAGATAACTGGATATTTTGTGAGATTGAGTTATTCCAAATAGTAATTTTTCTTTCCTTCCTTTTAATAAAGACTATAACAATAAATATCATTTGTAAATCTAAAATTAACTAAATCTTCTTTATAATAAATGACTCGTTATAGAGTGATTTAATGTATTTCGCTGATGTTCCATAGCTTGAAAATACCAACTTCGCAAATTGATATTAACAATCTTCCATCTTTGGAGGCTATTAAATTTTCAATTCTATTTTCATTTTTAAGAGTTTCTATTATTTTGATTGAGTCAAAATCTTGGCAATCCCTAAATTCAATATTGCTATCCTTATTTGAAATCATAATTTTTTTATAAGGAATAAATAAGGCAGCATCAATTAAATTGAAAAATTTTTGATGAGGTAGGTCACTGTCATGTACCCAATATTCCTCCATTTATGTTTCCAATAAAGTAGAATATTATAAGGTTCTAACATTCCATAAGATTAACTATTTACAGTATTCGTTTTCAAGTTCATGACACCTTTCTCCTACACTAACACATAATGAAAGATCTGAAGAAAAACTGGATTTTGTAAAATTAATCTTAGAATCATTATACAAAAGACATGATTTAAATTTTTCTATTACATTTAAGAAATCTAATTTTATAATATTATTATTCTTTAAACAAAATATCTGAGAAGCCTATCTCACAAACATTGTTGAGTAATCAAAATTATTATATTCTATTATCTTTAACAATATTAATTACACCTAATCATATTCCTTGAATAATTTCCAACAAAACATATGTTTATTATTCCCTGCAAATAAAATTGATTTTGGTGAACTCATTTTAAGAAAATTAAATGGCTCATTTAAGTAAGACTTATTATAATAAATTGAAATCTCTTGACTCTATTATAAATCTAATAAATATAAATCTCTTTTCCATTTACAATAAACTAAATAATTTTGATTGAAACAAAAATCAACAATCCTACAATTATCTATTTTTTTTTATTCTTTATAATTATTTTTTATCCAATCATAAACAACACACTAGAAATTATTATTTTTATCAAATGTAATTACCGCAAGTGTCTCTACATCTTTAGTAAAAACAACTTATTAAATTTAATCATCAGATATTTTAGGTACCTTTATTATCTAATTTTGACTATTTAAATTATCCAAATAATTTATTACAATGGAATAATTTTTATCAAAAGATATTAAACTTAAAATTGATTTTTATATTATATCCTTTTTATTTCCTTTAATTTTTTCAATTTAATTAGGTTAACCATCAAAATTTTCTTATTCATTACTTTCAATTTAAATAGATTAATCATCTAAATTATCAATTTATTATAGTTCATCATTATTTTCTTTGTCTAAAGGTTATTTATAAAAGAAGAACTACATCTTAAGTATGTTAACTTAATGGCATTGAAAAGAATGCTTTAATGTGAATTGATCTATTTCATAAATTAATATTTCATTTTATTCATTAGCTACTGCCAAAAGCATATCATCATCAGAAAACAATAATAGTTTAATTTTACTTTTTTAATCTATATTTTTTAATATTATCATTGAACTTAATTCCACTACCCTTAAAATATTATTATTTTGACTATCATTAAGTCCAATAACTAATTGCTTTAGATTATTAGATATTGTAAAATATTGAATATCGACACTTTCTAAATTTAATTCTAACTGAGAAATTTCAAAATTTTAATCTTTTACTAAATGATAAACATCCCATAAATATATTTAATTATTAAAATTTGTATAATAGAATTTGTCATCATCTGTAAAATATTGAAAAAAATTATCAGGTTCAATGTTTATATTAAGCCTACAAAGTAATTAGTCACTATCTAAAATTCTAAATACTACAATTTAACTATCAACAGATGATAATATTTTAGAATCGTTTGAAAATAGAAGATTAATGATTTAATGATTGTTATACTATTTCAATTTTGTCAAATTTGGTTTAGATTCTTACGATAACTCACCTAAAGTTAATTAATTATGAGAGTCTACAGAACATATATATTTAAAATCTTAAGATATTTAGTAAAGGCTTATTTCAATTTCATCATATTCATATAAAATAGCTGACTCTTCAATTTTATCATTTCTCTCCCAAATCTCTGCTAAAGAGAAATAGTATCCTTTATTATTCTATTTATATGTAAACAAGGTTAATGTAATAAATTATTTATCGTTTTATAAAAATTAAATCTGTTGAATGTTTCCTTTTATTTTTAAATTATTAGAGTAGCATCCACCAGGAATGATCTCAAATTTAGATTTTTGAAATGCTTGATTATATTAAATATTCCATAATTCAACTTTTCCTCCTTGTGTTATGATGAGACACTCCTAATTATGAGTAATTGAAAAAGAGTCTATTTTTTAATCAAAAGTTTTTGAAAATAATAGGGCCTTAAGCTACATATCCCAGAAGATAAGTGTATAATCTATTGCTCCTCCAGAATATAATACCTAACTATCTGCTGAAAACATTATACTGCTAATTCTATTCTCATGTCCATACTGAGCTATCCTTTTAAGGTTTGCTTTTAAATTCCATAATCTTATCGATTTATCATCACATGATGCTAATGTTGAATTATCTTAAGAAATTTAAACTACATTAACTTATTCTGAATGTCCTTAGAATTTAGCCATCACTTTTCTTGCCTTAAAGTCCCAAAAATAAATTATTTTATTAGTTCCACATCCTGCTAAATATTTTGAATCTTAAGAGAATGAAAAATTTAAGAAATTAATATCCTCTTCCAATTTATTAAATTCTTAATGATCTGCATTTTCATAATAATAGACTTGGTTACCTGAAGAAAATATTAAATTTTTTCTATCTTTTGAAATTGCTATTGAATCACAATCTTTAGTGTCATGATAATTATTTTCTATTACATCATCGATCAAATTTTATACCATAAATTATTTATATGCTAAATAAGCCACTTTTGAATCATTTAATAAAATTACTAAATCTTTTAACTCAGAATCAGAAGGGATATTTATTTTTATTGATTTAATAAATTTTCTATTAACCATATTAGTTATTAAAATAGAATTTTCACTAACTATTGAAGCAAGATATTTAGATGATGTTTTAGGATCAACAGAAGTTATTTTATCTTGTATTTTTCCTATTAATTAAGGGTTATTAATGTTTTCTATATTGAAAAGAATTATCTATTCATCTGCTAATACTAAAATCTTCCCATCATTTGAAAATGAAAAGTACTTTGATTTTTAATCTATTTCAAGTTAAGAAATGACTTGTTTTGATTTTATATTGTAGAATGTCAAGTTTTGGTCATTCTTGAAAACGATATTTTCATTATCTGGGCAAAACTCAAAATATCCTAAATCAGTGAATTCATCGATAGTAACATCTGATTCAAAATCAGATAATTTCGACAGATCATTATCCCCATATAATAAATATTTTTAGTTATTTGACATCTTTGTTGTGCTGTATTCTTGAGTAAGGATAAATCGTCCTTTACTAACCAAATCTACAGGATAAACTATAATTGAT